TCCAGGAAAACTGAGTACCTTTCACGCTTTCGTCTGGTACCTGCAGCATCCGAGCGAACATGGCCGAGCACTGCCCTTTGTGTGAGAAATTTCTGAAGCAAACGCTGTTTCACTGGTCAAAAGGTTGGGTTCAACAAATCTGCGGTGTGCGCCCACATCCGAGCAAAACACTTCAAGGGCTGTCGCTTATCCTGCGTGCAGCAGCCTGGCCCCAATTAAAAGCTGGGAAACCACACCTCTAGATATAAAGTCACCCGATGAAACAACTCTCCACACGCACATACTGTTAAGGGGAATTCCCATTCAGTCAGGATTCCATGGATTCCCTTCTTCCACGGAAATTGATGACTGGGGGCTGCTGTCTTGGGCCAACAGCAACTTGGAAAAAGAACACATCACCAGGGGTTTCCGGATCTTGAGCAAACAACAGCAAACTCGAAGAAACGGACCCCAGTAAAGAACAGCTCATTCGACCCCGTTCGGCAAGCTCACGCCCATTGAAATGTAGGGAGTGACACCAAGATGGCAAACTGGTACCTGTGCCCTAAGATGGCATAACATGACGCACTGTGCCAGGTCGATTTGCGTCCTCTGGGTGTGCCATCTTAGTGTCACAACTTTCAGTTTAGTGGGACCGGCAAGCTAAATCTAGTACTGGCAATGACCACGGTTGTGCTTGTGCCATCTTAGTGTCACTCCCTGTAGATTTGTGTGTGTGTGTGTTTTTCTTAAGGGTATCCTTTCCAGACTGGGTTAAAGGACAACAACAGGAACGCCGCCATCTTGGAGGTTTCCCTATGTTTATATTGTGGTTCGTTGACCCCTTGCTAAACAGCTTAAAACTTGGGTGGCCCAGTGCTTCCAGTTACCAGCATAGGTAAGCAATGGACATCATGATGTACAACCTATTAGACATACCGAAGGGTATAGCGGCGAAACGCCTGGAAACACTGGGTGGGACATGCAGAAAAAAACAAAAAACCAACTCCATCTTAAAAGTCTGGCAGGCTGGAAACTGTCAAGATTCAACACATGTGAGCCTCCCAGCCAAAAAAAACAAGCGCACATTCGGTGCCAGCCAAAAAGAACACATCTGTCCCTCTCAACATCTGAGTCTCATTTTCCAGGTGCCAAAAATATGTTCGAAGCCTTGGGTGCCCCGCTTGGTGCCCGGAAGGCCCAGGCGCAGGGGATAGCATCCCTGGTACCCCAGATTGTGGATCACCTCGGAGACCAGTACCCATTGGCCACCAAAAGGGGGTGCGGGGGCCAGCGGGGAAAAGGATGTTGCTCAAAGTTTTGCAGCCAAGAACCCCAAAAAACAAAATAATGGGTGTGTTGTTTTTTTTGAGGGAACCACAAAGAAGGTTGGTGTTTCTTGGGTTTCCCTCAAGCCCTAAAGGGACACGCCATACCAGGAAGGTGGGGGGGGGGCTTTCTTAGGGGAACCCCAAGATTCGTGGTTTCCTTTGCAACATTTAAAACTACGAGTACGAAAAAGGGGAACCCTAAAGAAAAGACAACCCAAACGGGAGGCCCTTAACAAACGGGAACGGGTCGTTTGTTGTTTCCCCTTCCCCTCCGAAAAAGAAAAACTACAATGGATAACAATGGGTTCAACAAATCGAGCAAACCCATAGTGAGCAACAATCAGCTAGCATTGTCAATAAATTTCAGCCAGAGCCCACAATTGGGGTTTCATGTGACTGATTGTTACTCATTGTGCCATAACCCGCTTGAGAGACCAAAAGGGAGACCGTTTTCAGTGCGGTGAAGAACTTCGAGCTAAGTCATGAGCATAGAAACAATTGCTAGTGCTGATTGAGATATGCATACTAGATGTCTTTGGACGGTTGAATGCCCTTTCGGAAATGCCAGTGGGCAACCAAAGGGAAACCAATCATTTGAACGACTTCCCGCACGTTTAAAGCCGAACCCGAACTCGTCTCTTACTTTGAACGCCCGAAAGGCCAATGTGGACTGTGTCTCGAGTTGTTTGGGGGCAACGTTGCCAAATTGAGGGGCTCCCAAAAATTCGAGAACCCATTTGCCCATTTGCCGCGTGGTGAAAGCGTCTGGAAAGTTTGTGGATCGAGTTCCCCTCGTTAGGTTTGAGCCATTGACAGTGGTGCTTGCTTGGTGGCTGGGACACACCAATACCATCAGCACCTGTCGTAGGGCGCCATCTATCTGTTCGTACATTGGTCAGAAACTGGTCAATGAAAAGGGCCAAATGGGAATGGTGTCAACTTAGCGGAACCCACACATGCGGATTTCCCTGCAAACCCAGAAATCAAATCAGCCCTTCAGTTGAAACCGCGAGTTCGGGTCACATTTGCCATTTCCCTGCCCGCACCTCGCACCATTTGAGGGTCGGCTGAGTAATCCGTAGTGTGACACCACGGGTTACAAGGGAAAACCAGGCGTTGGCTTTGAACAACAGGGGTCCCTATATCTCTCTTGAAGACATCACCCCTACCTCACCTTAAATGATTTGGCCAAACTGGTGATTCACAACCACCCAAAATGGACATGTAGGGACCCTGAACAAACTAGATAAGAGTTGTGTGCTCGGTGTTTGGGGTTGAGGAGGTCAAGCGACGGAAGGGTCTCCCTTGAGCGCATAGTTTGTTGCGATTGCCTCACTAACTTCACGGCCAAGCACGAAATCCTCAAGTATGTTGACACCCCACAACACGACCGTAAATCAACATAAACATGCAAATTACCTTCCCTCGCAGTAATTCACATCGATCGCACAACTTAGCTTCTCCGGCTGTGGCGTGGTACGGCAACGGCCCGGGCCTTATGTTGATCCCTGATTCACCCCCCCCGACAGAAGGCATTCCTTTCTTCCAAGGGGAATGCCCTGATTACTACTTGGAGGGAGGGCTTTATTAATCAGGGGTCCACATTGAAAGGCCATGATGTACTTGCATTGACCCAACGAGAGGAAACCCATGCTCAGTTGCCCAAAGGACCAAAATAACAGCTTAGCCTTTTGAAGCCATGACTTCAAAATAGACCAAGAAAGGGAAACCACAAGGTCAGATCCGGTCGATTCGCTCTGGGGTCATGAGCACGCTTTGGGGTCTGCCGAGCTGGTTGAGGCGGGCGCGTACATGCAACGAGCCTCGTTGTAGTTCCCGAAGGCACGGTGCCTGTGGACCTGCAGCTGTGGGTTTTGCGTGGGATCCGGGAAGAAATGGTTCCGCTTCTTCCGGCCTTTCAAGGTGCAAGGGAAAACCAAAACAAATTGGGGTCCACTCACTTAGGAGACAAACCACTAGCAGCTATGGGGTACCCCCCCCTTTTTTTGGCCAACCCCTGCTTTTGTGTGCTATGGTTTTGGGGTCTTAGCCAATTCAGGCTTGGTGTTGGGGTGAAGCCGGCCTTGAACTGCAAATAAAAAACTGACAGGGTTGCCCCACCCCCCCGCAAAGTGACTGGAGAAACCAAACCACTGACAACTCTTACGAATGTTACCTGCCCCCCCCCCCGCCCGGTGGAGGATTCTAAGGACTCCCGATAAAAACAACCGCCTCTTACCCCGCTGCCCCCCAAAAAGAAGGGTCCATTTCCCACCCAAAAAGAATCCTTGCGAGACAAGCGGCGTCCTTAAGTTCAATGCCACTCTGCTAGGTCCTCCAGTAGAGAGGTTAGAATAAGGGTACCAACTTGTTTCTGTCCCCCAAAAAAGTTAGTAAAAGGGCACTACTGGGGGACCTACTCCAGTACCGCATTGCCACCGTTCAGATTCTCGTTTTCCGTGTTTTCGCCCTGCCTCTGGTCCTCCAAAATAGAAAGCTGTGACACTCATCCGGGCTCAGACACAACCTTTCAATGTGCAATGACAGGAAGGTCGACTTGTTTTATCGGTTTCAGAGGGGTCACTGGCGTTTTGCCTCTCAAAGCTCAGCTTGCTTCTAGGGGTTGATTCCCCATTCTTTTCAACCAGTGTTCTTTTCAAAAACCGGCTGTTTCTTCAGGGTGGTTGCTGGTTTTCTGGAAAGAAGGATCCTGGAAGGAATGGGGAAGGTGCAGATTGTACTGGTGACATCAACACATACCAAGGCACGACGTGGGCCCCACGTAAGGCCAGGCACCGGTCATTATGGCTCTGCCACATTTTTGGAACATGCCAAGAAACCGATGACATGTTTCGCGGCTAGGGGATCGATGCAAAGTGAGGCGGATCGGTCTCGGGGACAAGTGCTTGGCCGGGTGTCACTTTCTTTTGGGCTGGATTCTTGCAGCGAAACGGAAAGGAACCCCCCCACCCAGTTTGGGGGTTCCCCTAGTTTAAGACACCCAACCAAACGTCCCAAGGACGTTCAGAATGGGAACGCCAAAAGGAAACAACTTCCCATATTTGCCGGGTGGATGTTACCCTGTTCTACCGTTCCAGTGCGTCCAGTTACCACGACTGAGTTTTACAAGACGGTTTCCCTTGGCTACCTACTATAGTGGTAGCTGGAAGCACTGGTCATGATTGACCAATTCAAAAGGAGCTGACCGAGAGGGAGGAATTCAACGTCATCTGCAAGTTCTACAAAATCAAAAATCCCTAGGTGAAAGACCTACTAGGGAGCTCGTTTTACACCCCTGGTGAGATGAGCCATGAAGTGAGCCTCCCGGATTCCGTGGGGATTTCCGCCATGCCCCTCCCAAACGAACCGGCTACAACATTGGGCTTCCGAAAAAACGGTGAAAACAGACACGATTGTCGCATGTTTTCCTCGACATTGGGGGAGAAAGGGAGTGCGCAGGAGTGCTGACCAAGTCCCCAGATTCTTGCAGCTAGTGTTCACCTTGTCCGTTTTTTGAAGGGGTTCATAGGGGTTCCCTAAAGTACCCCCCGCAACCCCCCAACCCCACCCCCCCAACCCAAACCGGTGTGACACCCTAATGAAAGGAGACACCGAAGTCAAGTCCAGGCAGGTGCCCGATGGGTCTCCCGCCATGTAGACCGGAAGGAGTCCTACCACGCACTGTTGAAGCCACGGGAAAAAGAGATTGAGAAGTCTAGAAGGGAAACCCAAGTTGCAAAAAGGGGAGACGTGGGGGGAGGGGGTGAGGGGGTGAGGGGGAGATATGCAGGACGCAAAACAATCCGGAAAAATCGCCGTGATTCAAAGTCCAGAAATTAGCAATACGCAAGTTGTTTTTTTTGTTATCACGGGCTCTCTCCCGGCGCAACAGGTGCAGAGCTTTTAGTTTGGCAGCGTGGAAACAACCGTTGTCCCAGGCAGTAAAAGGATATTTCGATATTCGGCCAAAGCAAGGAGGAACCAAGTTCTAAGGCTGCCCTGTGAAACCTTGGCCTCTTGGACCACCCGTTCGCAAAGAACCAAAGGGGTGAACTCTCAGGGTCACCGTTTTCCATCAAATCATCGGATTCCACACCCCCTCCTTTTTGCGGAAAACAGCAGGGCCAGGGGGAACGTGTGTCTGTGTGTGTGCGTGTGCGCGTGCGCGTGCGCGTGGGCGTGGGCGTGCGCGTGCGCGTGGGCGTGGGCGTGGGCGTGGGCGTGTGTGTGTGTGTGTGTGTGTGTGTGTGTGTGTGTGTGTGTGTGTGTGTGTGTGTGTGTGTGTGTGTGTGTCTGTGTGTCTGTGTGTGTGTCTGTGTGTGTCTGTGTGTGTGTCTGTGTGTGTGTCTGTGTGTGTGTCTGTGTGTCTGTGAGTGGGTGCGTGGGTGCGTGGGTGCGTGGGTGCGTGGGTGCGTGGGTGCGTGGGTGCGTGGGTGCGTGCGTGCGTGGTGCGTGGGTGTGTGTGTGCGCGTTGTGCGCGGCGGCTGTGCGCGCGTGCGCGCGTGCGCGCGTGCGCGCGTGCGCGCGCGTGTGCGTGCGTGCTGTGCGCGCGTGCGTGCGTGCGCGCGTGCGTGCGTGCGTTGCGCGTGCGCGCGTGGCGGCGTGCGGGCGTGCGTGCGCGGGCGCGGGCGCGCGCGGGCGCGGGCGCGGCGGGCGGGCGCGCGCGGCGCGGGCGCGGGCGCGGGCGCGGGCGCGGGCGCGGGCTGCGGGCGCGGGCGCGGGCGCGGGCGGGCGCGGGCGCGGCGCAGGCGGTGCGGGGGGTGCGGGTGCGGGTGCGGGTGCGGGCGCGGTGCGCGCGGGCGGGCGAGCGGGCGGGCGGGCGGGCGGGCGGGCGGGCGTGCGTGCGTGCGTGCGTGCGTGGGTGGGTGGGTGGGTGGGTGGGTGGGTGGGTGTGTGTGTGTGTGTGTGTGGGTGTGTGCGTTTGTTCTGTGTGTGCGGTCCTCTGTGCGTGTGCGTGTGCGTGTGTGTGCTCTGTGTGTGCGTGTGCTCTCTGTGTGTGTGTGTGTGTGTGCTCTGTGTGTGTGTGCTGTGTGTGTGTGTGTCCTCTGTGTGTGTGTGTCCTTTGTGTGTGTGCTGTGTGTGTGTGCTCTGTGTGTGTGTGTGTGTCTGTGCTCTGTGTGTGTGTGTCCTCGGTGTGTGTGTGTGTGTCTCCTCTGTGTGTGTGTGTCTCCTCTGTGTTTGTGCGTGTGTTCTGTGTGTGCGGTCCTCTGTGCGTGTGTGTGTGTGTGTGTATGCTGTGTGTGTGTTCTGTGTGTGTGTGTGGGTGTGTGCATGATTAATTTTATTTGCGCTTGTTCTTAGCTCCAGTCCATCTTCTGTCCGTGTCTCCTAAACGCATGGCAAAGTGAACCTGGAGAAGCTCCAACCCCGTCCACAACATGCACGTACTGCAAGCAGATGGGGCAAGTTCTTCCAAACCCTCCAATCGTCTTCATGAAAACCTTAAGGTAAAGGCCCAGGTTCATCGCTCTTTTTCGGATGCCAGAGCGTAGATCTTCTCTCACCTGCCCTGTCTGTGAAGATTCAAATGCCCAGGGAAGACTGCAACACTTCCGAACACTCGTTGGTTGGCCAACGATGTCCAAACTGTGTTGTGCTGCCAATGCAAAGGTTCAAATGCAAACGGATATAAAGTCCAGGAAATCGGGTGAGCAAATAGACCAAAACTGAAGCAGCATACTAAACACATACGATCAAATCAGATGGCAACAAAGCACGCAACAGCAATAACTTTGTTTGTTCAGGAAGGCTTACTGTATAAGTAGCCTCTAGAACTGATTGATTCAACGGCCAAAGCTGGCAACGGGAGCAGTCAAATGTCCTCGGTTTGCTTTGCCAAAACGAGTTTCTTGTTTGTTTTAACATATTTGAGCGTTCACCTCAACACCAATCAGAAGGGGAACGTCAAACAGGGGCGCCCCTCGGTGTCTTCAGGGAAGCCCTTCCCCTTCCAAAAGAATATGGCTGTGGCTCAAAACCAATGGTACCCGGATTGGGATGTTCACTGGGGGTACGGGATTTTGACCCATGGCCATAATATGAATGCCACTGACCGCAGGCCGGGCCTGTCTGCCAGTCGTTGGCGACAAACATCACCTGCAAAATCTGTCAAGCCAAAAGGGCAAAAATCGCTCCACTGAAACCAACCAGTGAATCGGGTGTTAGGAGTCAATCATTCTGTCAGTCAATCAGATATTCACAGCCAGCCCACAGCCAGCCATCCAATCAAACCCAACCACAAAAGCGAAGCGAGTTACATGTGCCATCAGTCTTGGGGTTGAAATGGTTTCAAATTTCGCTTACTGGAAGCAAAGCCGTGCACCCCCCACTAGAAACCAAAACATGTGGATCAAACAGAAAAAATATATATATATATATATATGTTTTTGACTCTTCAAAGCACCACATTGGTGCTACTGGTACCTTAATCGCGAAACGGTGCATCCTTTACGCCGCATAAGGATTAGTGCCAAAATGGGAGGATTGCCCAGCTCCACTGGGCAGCTCCCCTCAGCAGCTGATGGGAGTAGAATTGATGCCACTCCCACAGCGAGGGAGGAATCCTCCCACCTCACCGGATGCCCTCCCGGCATCATGGGTGAGGAAGGAAAGTAGCGAAGATCAGCTTGATCAATTCGCTTTCGACTGAGGGGAAGACCCGGTTCTCAGTCGGAAATTGCGGGTCCGGATGAGTAAGTTCATCCGCCCATGTGTTAAAGTCGCGCTTCACATGCGACGGTCCTAACATGACCTGGTGGTCATGCAGTGTTAACACAATTTCCATGAGGATGGCCGCATTGGGCATCCTGCGAGTGGAATCGTTAAGCAGGGAGAAAACGTTTCCCTGGTTATCACTAGCAACCAGAATCCTAGTGTGAGAAGCCGAGCCGGCTGCACAAAGCAGAACAGCCCTCACCAAAAGGAGGAGGCCGAAGAGCTCCAAGGCCGCTATCGCCCGCTGCGGGTCCCCAGTAGTGAAGGCCCACGGCTCGCCCTCCGGTGTGATTCTGTGTTGGAACCACTTCACTCGGGACTTGTCGGGGTTGGGCACGTCCGAGCACCAACCACCAACCCATGCATGGTCCGCCTGTTTGCCAGCTCCCGCATCAGATGCCCCCGTCCATGGAAGTGTGGGAGCAAATGGAGATGCCAGTGGGAACCTCTGGTTGAAGAGCTTCCCCAGAAGGATGGCCAGAGCACGAACCAGCTTCGGTGGCCTGCCCGAAGTGGTGCAGGCCTTCTTCCAGCTCCAAAAGGGCTGGAGGAAAGGTTTCGTCAATGGACACGCCGAAGTAGCCCATTGAATCCGGCCCAGGGCTTGTTCCACCTCCTTGCTGGTAAAGATGTCCCCCTGGGCCAGCCGTTTGAGAGTGGCCAGGATTATGACGTGCTTGACTGGAGCCAGCAGCACACAGGGCGTGATTGGGTCCACCACGAATCCCAACCAGGTATTGACCGGGGAGAGCGCCGTCTTCTTCCAAGAAAGCGGGACTCCCAGCGCCAGAAGAGTGGCCAGGATGGCTGTGGCGTCCCAGTCCGCCCTGCTGCATCTGAGGACCCAGCAGTAGTCGTCCACAAAAACTAAGTGCCAGTCCACCTGAGGGAAGATGTAGTACAAGAGTCTGAGCACCAAGGATGCCTTTCTTCCCCAGTACAGTTGTGCCGAGGCCATGCCGTACGTGCCCACTCTATTGACCCACCACCGGTTCTGGATGCAGGCCACCTGGTATTTCCAGTCTTTCTGGAGCACTTTTATGCGCCTGTGGGCCTTGGTGACATCCGCCTTGAGGATGATGAAGGTTTCCCCCTGTGTCGGCGGCTGCCACGTCAGGGGTTCCCCCCTGCTCCCCCCAGGGCGTTCCGTGCCTGGGGGGGTTGGGGGGAATGGGGCCCTCCTATCAGGGCCCTCGGCACCTGGGAGTGGCCCCTTCCCTGAGGGTGTTGACCGCGGAGAGACGTCCAGGCCGCCGGAGGTCTCCATCATCCGCCTGCGGGCAGGCTGGTGCTGTGGGGGTCCCTCTCAGGGCCCTCGGCACCTGGGGACTGGCTGGTGAACATCCCGAGGTTCCTCATCAGTGCCCGAGGATGGGGCTCGGAGTAGATGAGGATGGTCCGCCGCTGTCCTGAGCCAGTGGATGGCATGGAGGCAGTCTCCAACCATCGGTGCGGTGGTCTTCTCCTCCGTGTGAGCCTGGATGTGTGCGTTTGCTCCCCCTTTTGAGCCATCATAGATCGTCCTGATCTTGTCCGACTCATCAATCCCTGCAAGGGGGCCCGGGCAAAGTTCCTCCGGTTTGCAGCGGCACCTCTCTGCCGCCTCGGAGCGAGTGAAGGGCCCGTCCACCATGTCCAAGGCTCGTTCCTCGTAAAAGGTTGATTCGATTTCCTTGGCAAAGAGTTCAGCCGTTGGGTAGTTATCATGAGCCACTGGCGGGGGGGGATCTTCCCCCAGCCAGGCTTCTCCCTTAAGCTCCTCCTTAGTGGGCCAAACTCCCGGGGAGGTCAAGGTAGGGTCCGAGACTCCCAAGGGGACCCCCTCTTTCAGTGTTAGGGGGAACTCCCAATCAGGGTCACCTGAAAGGGATGCCAAGTGCGACACTAAGTCCAGGAGGAAGGGTTGTCCTGGGCATCGTTCATGGAGGTGCCTCGGTCCTAGGATAGCCCGCAGCTCCTCGAGGTCGGCTTCCTGGAAGGGGTGTGTGGTGGCACCTGATGCCAGGGACATTCGGACCTTGTCAATCCAGGGCCGGGTAAGGGTCATGATCAGGGCGCCCAAAGTAGCCAATGGGGAAATTCTCCGAAAAGGGGGGTTGAGCCTCCCTGGGGAAGGTTTTCCCCCCCCATCCCTCAGGGGGCGTGAGCGGAAACCCAATTGGACAATCGCCACCCGGTCAGTGAGGTGTGGGACCCTGAAAGCGGGCAGGCATTCGGGGCGGTCCAGGACCTGGTCCCCCTGTCCCTCCTTCCCCAGTTGTTCCGCATCTCCGGCCATCGGGGGCATGGGAGATGGGAAGTCTGGGTTCATTGTTCCACGAGGGCTTACGGTGTCTGCCTCAGGGTGGAACTGCCCGTGCAGGCGGGGCTTCGGGGCGTTCTTGCCTCCGGGCTTTGAGCCCTGGTGTGATGAGGAGGGACCGCCTCCTTGACTGGGCCCCCGTTTTCCCCGGGGGGAATGGCCTTCCGGGGGGTCCGACCCCCGCCCCTCAGGTGGTTCCTTGGGGTGCCCCGGCGCTGCGAGTGACACAGCGATGGCTTTGGCCAGGCCTGCCATCATATCCCAAGGGTATCTGCTAAGAGTCGAGGACTCGTTGGTGCCCACATGTGACTGATGCGTGCACCGCATTTGGTCCCGGTCCTGGATCGGGAGATCCGTGGCCAGCGTAGTGGCCTTCTTGACCAGCTGGCCCAGGCGGCACTGGTCGAAGGAGATTGCTGTCAAGGAGTTCTCCTCCATCCAAAGCTGCCCCTCCTCTGTGATCCAGAAGGATGAGCATTCCTTGGCTTTGGGCAGCGAGCTGCTCACCACTGGGTCCTCCGGGTGTTCCAGGAAGGACCTGGGCCCTGGCAGAGAAACCGCCGCTCGTGAGGCCCTTGCCAGGCTGGTGATGTACATCTGTCTCAGAATGAGGATGCTGTCATCATCAAGTTGAGTCTGGGCGGCCTGGTCCAGGTGTGGAAGGCCCCAAAGTGTCTCTGGAGTGCGCCCTCGCACCGGGGTGGGAGCCCCCGGTTTTGGTATGTGGCGCAGGATGGACCATGTCCTGCAGTTGGGTCCTCCTCCAATGAAGACCACTCGGCCCTGCTTTGCTGCCGTGCAAAGAGCTCCATACAGCTCGGGTTGGAGCATATCGTGGTCCCCTTTTGGTCCAGACCGTAGGATGTCTACCGCCACCACCATGCTGGAAAGGTGTGGGTAGTTGGCATGAAGACAGCTGTCCAAGGAAGTTGGGTCTTCCTTGCCTGCATAGAGCAGGACAATGATGGGCCCACTGGATGGAACTTTGGGCGATGTGCCCTGTGTCCATCTCAGCCGCTGTACCAGACGCTCAGGGATGTTCTCCATCCACGGGAAGATGTCCAATCCCGGTGACGGCTCCGTTGGACTTGTCAGGGGGGTAGCTGAAAGGCGTTGGCCCCCTTCATTCAGCCCCACCGAGCTCTTGTGGAAAACCACCGGGTCCTGCTTGATGATGTTGGGCGCCGGAAGTGGGATCGGCTGCTTCCTGGGAGTGTCCCTTGGCGTTGCGGTGTGCTGCCAGTCATCCGGCACTCGGGCCTTCTGGGTGCGGCCCCCCGTGTCAGGGCCCTCGGCACCTGCGGGGAACCGTCCCGTCCCCGCCATATCAGGGCCCTCGGCACCTGTGGCTCGGGACTGAGGCGCCGCCGTTGTGCCGGTTGTGTGGCTGTTCTGATCACGGCGAGGGCGTTGTGCACGCTGGTTCTGCCGTCCCCATCCTTGTTCCGCCGAGGATGGCCGCCACCTGGCCTGTCCCCCCCCTGTGTCAGGGCCCTCGGCACCTGCAGGAGGGGGCTTCTGTGCCTGCTTGGGGCGTTTGCGCCCCTTCTCGCCCCCCCGGGCCTTATCAGGGCCCTCGGCACCTGAGGCCTCCCGGGGGGTAGGGGTCAGCGCCCCTAGTCAACCCGGGCAGTCCTGCGGGAGGTGGTCCCCCAGGCAGATGCGGCCCATTGCCAGGATGAGGTTGCACTTGTGGGTGCGGCCGCAGTTGCCCGGGCAGCGCCCGCGCATCCAGTTGTTACAGAACTGGTTCCCTTTCGGGTCGGTGGCTGCCTGCTTGTTACCGCCCCGGGACGCCTGATTGTTCAGGTGGGGGGGCTTACCCTTCCCTTTGTTCCCAGGCTTGCCCTTGGACTTCCCCTTGCCCTTGGACTTGTTCTTGCCCTTCTGAGGTGGTGCGTAGTCCATGGATGTCCTGGTTGATGGGCGGCCCCTGGAAAAGGTCTTGATCTTCTCATAGACCTCACGTGTCCAGAACAATGTGTCCTGCCTGACCGACAGCATGGCCGCCTTGAGGGTGTTGCCCTCATGCATCTTCTCGTGAATCTTTCGCCATGCGTTGCGTTCGGCAATTGCCAGG